GTAAAATGCAAGTATATCGTAGATTACAATATTCGGATTACATCGGCCTTTCGGCAACGCACGTATGATGCCTTGAATTTTATGTGCACAGCTTTTAAGGTCGCCCGCCACCGTGATTTCCTTAAAAGTCGTGTCCAATAAATTATTGATCTTTATTTATTCAATGCTGAGGAGCTCGTCGCATTCGGCTGCGATCGTTGAAGTTAGCAACTTTCGCAGTGGTCGGTCATTGGATGGGTAACCAAAAATCTTCTATCTCGAGTTCCTCCGTGTTTCGGAAGGCACGTTAAGTTGCCGGTCTTGGCTGCATCTGCAGTCGTTAGCACCCGCTAATCCGCACTGGGACAGGGTGGGTCATGGTCCAATCTTCCTATTCCATCCATAGAGAAGGCCTGTGCTCCAGTAGTGGGGGCATTAATAGGCTGATGATGATGATGATTTAATGCTGTTTTTACATGCCGGCTTACAGAGACATCCAAAACGCCGCTAAGTCAATATCAACTATTCATTCTAATATAATAAAATCAAGCTAAAAATAATAATATGAAGTAATGTCAAATCAGATAAGTACCCACATAAACAAAGTCAAATACTGTTAAAATCAATGGTTAATCATTAATTAATGAGATCATCATCAGCCTATTAATGTCCCCACTGCTGGGGCACAGGCCTACCCTATGGATGGAATAGGGAGATTGGGCCATGACCCACCACGCCGGCCCAGTGCGGATTGGTGGGTGCTAACGACTGCAGATGCAGCCGGGACCAACGGCTTAACGTGCCTTCCGAAGCACGGAGGAGCTCGAGATAGTAATTTTTGGTCACCCATCCAATGACCGACCACTGCGAAAGTTGCTTAAGTTCAATGATCGCAGCCGTTAGCGCTAACCACTTGCGCCATCGAGCTCCTCTATTATTGAGATATTAAGCTATAAATATAATGGTGTCGATTCTGGTACGATTCTCTAAATCTAAACTTAAATTTGACAACAGTGTATCCTTGTCATTCTCTATACAAAATGAAAAGAAGAGACTAATGTTAAATTTAGTTGTAAGTTTAGAGAAGCACGCCAGAATCGACACCATTGTCATATTAGTTTAAACTTAAATGATTATGAATGTCATACTATTTTCATAATTAACAAATAAATTGTCCAATTATAGCATTCAGAAACTATCAACTAATCTAATTTAAAGACGAAAGCTAGGTTTTTCTATGCAAGGTCAATTTCTATGTCACAAATTAATTACCAGCTACTCCAGCGCGGTATTGTAAGACAATAGGATTTACGTCATCATAGAACAACAGTTGTGTACTCTGGTACAAAACAAAACATGAATTGGCTGTAGTGACGCTAAATAATATACTAACGTTACTATGTTTACAGTTACCCATAAATTCATGGATTACGTTTTTCCGTAAAGTTGCTTAGTGTAATAGGGATGATGACTATTTTTTTTTTCTTCGTTTATCAGGTAGATTATCAAAAAGTATTGGACACGTATTTTTCATTTTTCACATAATATAAACATTGCTGAGATATATTGATTTGAAAAGTCGCATGACGTCACGTTTTGGTATACTTTTATGTGAAGATTCACTAAAAAGTGACGTCACGAGCCCCTACTCCCAAACTGTGACGCGCTATAACTTTGTCATTTTTTGGTTGATTGCCCTAAGAAAAAATACGTGTCCATTATTTTTTGATCATCTAACTGACGGACTAAATAGAATTTCGTTTACTGTACCCCGTCATCACCCCTTTGCGTGCATGTAGCTGACAGACATAAACTGGGCCGGTCGGTGTAGGGCAGTTATGGGACGATAAAAACGAGCGATGCCAGGCGTCCCTATTTTGGCGTGTCCTCCCGCTTTTTAAATCAAAATTGAATGTCCCGCGCGGGACAGGCTCCATCCCGCTTTTCGGGAATAACTCGACCGTTCGTGCAGCGTACTGAGAAAGCGCGGGCGGGTGGCACAGACAAGTGTTCCTTCAAGATACCCCCGAAGTAGGATAGACCCTCTTAAAGCACCTCGTCGCAGAACGGCATTCGGATCCAACTCCCCTATTTCAAGACTATGCAAGCTGGTAAATGAATACACAAAAAAAAATGATCAGCTTGATATTGTCTGGGACTCACCTGACAAGCTTCAGTCTAGTTTATTTAAGTATTTTTCAAAAAACAGTACATAAAAATATTGAAATAATTTTTTATTTAATTTGGTCAGAAAAGCAGTATTCTGACGATGCTGACCTGAAAAGGCTGCGTAACGTCAATAAATAAATAAAGTTTCGTGCATTAACCCGTTAAAACTAGTTTTATATAATGAGTGATGTGCGTGAAAATCTAAGAAACAAATACTACAATGTGTTATGCTAAAAGGACCAATAGTATTCACATTGTATGCTGCGACTGTGACGCTTTGAGTCTGATTTAATTCAATGCTGTAACCTTGCCAATGCTTGACTAATAAAGAGTGTGTAACGTATCTATAAAAAATAACCTACACCTTAAACACACAGCCATCATTTATTATTGGCGAGTTTGACAGAGTATTAATGGTGAACCTTGAAAGATTTTGTTTAAATTTAATTTTGATCATACGCTAGGTCTGATCCTGGCAGGATTATCTAAATTGAAAAACTAAATTGAATCCTCTTTCATTATTTATAGAACTAGATTAGGATAAACTATTGTCAAATTTAGTTTTAGGTTAAGAGAATCATGCCAAATCAGGTCCATTAATTATCTACCTGTACTGTATGTAATAGTACATATATAAGTATATTTATATAGAAACATATACAAACATCCATGACTGGAGTATAAAATGCTCGAATTCATCACACAAACATCTGTCCCCTCTCCAGTCCGCGACACCATAAAACCCGGCGTACAAACCACTCGACTACGGAGGTCAAATAATGATACAAACGGGCAAAAAACAGCTCTTGATGAATTTCTCACCGGTTGTTCTCTGTACAAGTTTTCTCTTGCCGTAGATTTGTGAACTCATGACGTAGTTTTTCGACTATCATGTATATTTTCAGCCATTGTAAATTTAACAAAAATTATAACTTATTTTTAATCAATAACAATATGGATTTGTTGACATGTATAATGTGATGACATATGACGATTAATTGACATGTTTAAATGGAATTAAGGTTTTTATTTGATTCACATATTACTACGCGAGAAAGCAGATTACAAATCAGTATTTTGTTTTAAATCCACCATTGCATGTGCTGGTTTACTCAAATACTTGTAAAGCAAACTAAGTTAGTCATTATACATACATTAAAAGTTTCAAGGATGGAATGTTAACCAACAGCTGTGATGCGAATCAGATAATACGCACAAGATAAAGCTCGGAACATATTTCAGAACACTTCAAGAGAATTTGAACTGTATTTTTTTGGTAATACCGACTATGATATCACTATACTGATTTACCTTTGTATTCAACGTAGAGTACGCTGTAATGACGTAACTTTTTCTATTTTAAATACTAACCTGTGAGATTTTCAACAATACACTTATCAGTAGTAAACAATTTAGCAGATTTAGGCCACGAAGTTCACGTTTCCTGTTCTAACTTAAAATGATGTATGTGCGTCGGATGTTTCAGCATGAAGGTTGTATACCGATAACGCTCATATAGATACTATTTAAATATGTTATTTTGGCGGATTACGAATGACGACTGAGCGAAGGTCGTTTTACAACTTACCAACCGAAAACAGCTCTGTTTATGCTGCAATCGTTACAATACGTTTTAAACGACGTAGTTTTTACGCACCTATTTGATTTTGTTGGCTCTGTTTAGTTGTTGATAGTTTAGTCTGTAATACGTTGGTTGCATAATTCAATGTAACTAAAAACATGAATATCTTCAAATCTTAATGCAAAGAAGTCATCGCCACATAACCAGGTCAGTCGTGCGTGCGTCCTCATATTCTACGCATTTAATATCAAATACTTAATTTAAATGAATATCGTTCTTTTAGGAGTGTTCTAATTTTTTTTATTGCCTACCTCTGTATGTTAAAATTATTTGTATACATTATACATGTACTATGAACATTGCAACATATTTGGTTCGCTGGAGTAGCCATAGATAATTTTTCTTATCTAATCACATTAGCCTAAAATACTACTCACAACTGTACTGTATTGTAACTGTAGTTCACGTGGTTCGAATCTCATTAAGAGGCTTATCCAAAATCTATTATTGTTTAACATCAACAAATAAAATTAAGATACTGCAGACACTGGCTACCTTTCTTTCTGATTTACTAACAATCGAAAGACAATACTTTATGATTATTACAGTGTGGTGATTTTACAGGTAACTGAAATTGTTTAAAAACGTTATTGATTTCCCTGTGAAGAGACCCGTCTCGCTTAGCTGCGAGGAGCTTTCGATAGCTCGCATAAAAATAGTATTAAGGGTACCCCACCCGGTGTATACTAAAGGGTCAAGGGATCTGACCGTGGCATTTTTTTCAAAGCTTTTATTTTAAAACTTGTGTCTCTGCGCCTCGCTCTGTGTGAGCGCAGTGTACTGGCCTACAACAGTGTTCAACCACCGTTGTACGTATCTGACTCGATTGACCGAGAGGCGCACAGGCGGCTGGGCAATTGTCTTTCAACAAGACATTGATCCCGGTAACCTCTTGACTTGAGCATCCTCATCCCTCTTAAATTTTGTCTTAACCTTTTACCAAATCCAAACATCTCATAATTCCTCTTTAACTTCCTCTATATTGGACACTATATTTCCTCTGCATTCCTATCCGTGTATTTTACAGAGTAATATCCAGTCCCAACCATCATTTTTGATAAAAAGTCTGAAACAAAGGCATAATCCATCCCAACCCCGATCTACCTGGACGATATCTTCATTGTTACTCCTACGAAATCCCAGATCCCTCTTGTCAACGCTCAGCGGCCTTTCGGCTGCAGTGTGTTGAACAGCGCTCTCTTGTGGTCAGGTACTAGGGCCTTCGCGCCCGGTCGCTCACACCGTCGGGTCGTCGAGCCGAGGGGGGATCGGCGCGAGCACACCAACGACACACAGCCGCTGTTTGCTCCTGCGCACGCTTAGGTAAGAAGCATTCTTTTGTTTACTTGTTTTACTAATTTATAGAAGAGTTATGAGTTTGGTGTCATAATCTTTTATGAATTTTGTAAATTTGATAGCAGAGTGTTCCTTTTCAATCCTTACAGGGACTGATGATGATAAACTATTATCCAATTCTGTGCCCGTAGCATGAGCACCACAGTTTACATTATATCACGTTTTTCATCGCGTCTAACTCCATAGTAATTTGACAATTAAACGTGATAAAAACGCGTTTTATAGCATATCGCGGTGCTCATGCTAGAGGGGCTGAAATAACAATAACGAAAAGCCACGTGAAATGCTAGAATTAGATAGAATACAGTATTACATTAAATATTTATTTAGCATTTTTTTATCGAGAAAAGAAAAGCAGAATTTATTACAAATAAAAGTTCAAGTTCAGTAGAAGACGAGAATGATATTGGCACTCTTTGTTTTGAAGAATGTAGTGAATAATTAAAAACAAAATTAGTAATTAGTAGATAAACCCATGCCAGGGCTAGCTATTAGAACCTATTAGGTAACGGGAATTACTATTGTGAATGGCACAAAGAACATCGCGTGTAATGCTCGGATCGGCGCTCGTGCTGATTCACCAATTGTTTGCATCTACCACTAACACACAAGTTATCGGCAGTGCATTTTCGGATTCCGTTGGTGACGGTCGTGTAGTCCCAGAAATCGCAAGTGCTCTTTTTGTTCATAAATTCGTGATAATTCAGTTTAAATACCAATACGTACTTACGAGTTTTTTAGTTTGTGCCATTCACAGTTTTCGTGTTAATCTACATGTTACAGTACTCGATTTTTTATTAAAAATTCAAAATTTTATTAAGAATATTATGAATCCAAGTAAGCAAAAAATTCTACCAGATTTTATAATGTACGGTGTATATCCAATCCAATATGAAGTGGACTATATTTAATTGTTTAACTGTTTCAATAAGACTTCCATAGTTTCGTAGCCAGTTTTTTATTATAAATATCTAATATTATTAGCTGATCATTAGCTTGTCCTTAATCATTATCATTTTCTTGCTTAGTCAAAATCAATTCCTCGATTTCACTTCTTCTAATTCAAGCAGTCTTTCCATCTCTTCATTGATTCTACTCCGATTGAGATGGCAATTTTAATTACCATCTTGTTGATAGAAGTTTTGGCGATGGTATTCGGCACTTGGAGGAAAACTTCTTCGTGTGATTCGCTTGCACGTTTCATTATTTGGTCGTGTATGGTTACGTATAATGATGCCCATCCTAGCACAAGCGAGACGCATCTCTGACAGGATTACTATATTGGCGCACTGGATTTCAATTTGTTGTAGTTTTGTATATCCTTCAATATGCGATTAGTGTGACAAGAGTGACAACTACAGATTACAGAGACTATGTATTGACATTGAGGAGGTTACACACTAAACACTTGTTTTTCTTTCTTTCTCTGTGAATTAGTAAAAAGTGTGACGACCAATCACAGTGTAGTGTCAATATAGTGCATCATAAAGTTAATTTAAAGTTTCTAAATTTTGTATAGAAACAGTACACATTTGACGTATATCTAGATGGAATTCAACTATTCGAATCCGATAACGGTTCACACTAATGGTACTATTCATCTTTGTATCTTTTTGATCGTGATTTATCTCCGCTAGGTGCCGATTCACCCGCCGCTCGCACCAAAAGCCCGATCATGTTGAGAGCGGGCGCGAGGCACCCGGATGCTGCTGACGACGACAGCCCGCCGGTGGCGTCCACTTCCGGCCAGGCTGCGGCCGCGGCGCCGGACCTGCCACAACTGTACGCTACCCTCAACGAGTACCTGTTACTGGAGCACAAGTTCCAGCCTAGACTGTGCCTGCCTGCCGACTGTGAGGTGAGCACTGACGCTTCACAGGTAATACATAGAGTGTCTGCAACACTTCTGGATCTGCAACATCTGTTAACGAGTACTAGCTGATGGACCACAAGTTCCAGCACAGACTGTTGCTGCCTGCCGACTGTGAGGTGAGCACAGACGCTTCACAGGTAATACATCGTGTGTCTGCAACACTTCTGGACCTGCCACAACTGTCAACGAGTACCTGCTGATGGACCACAGGTTCCAGCCCAGACTGTGACGTGAGTTTTGACGCTCCACAGGACATATGACGAGTGTCCCCAACAACTGTCAACGAGTACCTGTTGATGGACCACAAGTTCCAGTCTAGACTGTGGGTGCCTCCCGACTGTGAGGTGAGCACTGTCGATTCACAGGAAATATGACGAGTGTCTGTAACATCTGTTAACGAGTACCTGCCGATGGACCACAAGTTCCAGCCCAGACTGTTGCTAACGTGGAGAGTCACCAGGATCCCACGAAACCCGTTCCGGCAGGTGAGGAAACACTGTTGGGTTTTTAGTGGGTAGCCACCCCCCCCCCCCCCCCCTCGTCCCGAGCAGCCGCTGAGCCAGTTTGGCTGAGCGGGTGGGCGGGATTTGGGGGGAGGAGGAGTCCCACATAACCCCGCCTCTCACCCAGGAGCGGGGTATGCATCAAGCATTTACCCAACAAAAAAAAAAAAAAACCCGACTGTTGCTGCCTGCCAAGTATGAGGTGAGCACTGACGCTTCACAGAATGAAATCGGTCAGTATATGATTACAAACCGTCGGCCTACATATATACCAGTGACATATTTCGACTTGGTAAAGCATGGCCCGGGATAACTGACCGCATTTGTAGGCCATAGTAACGTATTTGTTACGTAGAAGTAAAGCGATTATGTGATAAAGAAAGCACTCCACTAACTCTTTTCTGTAAACAAAATATATAACAGTTTCTCTGATCTGATATACCACAAACGTCATGAACTTAGTTATGAAATAATTATAAAATTTTATAATTATATTTTTTTTAATCTCAAATATAATTTCAAGTCTCTACCATAGAATAAAAAAATATAATAAATTTGCGTAGGCAAGTAAACTTTCCAAAAATCGGTATTTTGTTAATGATTCATTTTAATGAATGTAATTAGTTATGGCATGACAGGTGTTTCAACTGATGAGTAAAAGTTAATGCTATTCAGAAAATTTCGGACTAAATAACTCAATTTACGTATACAGGTTTACATAATGTTGAATTATTTCAACATGCCATAAATCTAGGAACATTTAAATAACACAAACCTTATAAAGACTACTTATTATCCAAATGACCTTAATCTCATTAGCTACTTAAATAATATCCGTAATTAAAATACACGTGGGACGACCATGTTAAAATACATATTGACTTTGGTACTTTTTTTCATAATAAAAATAAATAAATAAATATTTCCAACACACACCAATTAGCCTAGCCCCAAAGTAAGCACTGTAAGGCTTGTGTTATGGGATGCTAGGGTAACGGATAGAATACATATACTGTACATATATAAGTATATTTATATAGAAATACATATTAAACATCCATGACTGGAGTACAAATGCTCGTATTCATCACACAAACATCTGCCCCCACCGGGATTCGAACCCGGGACCTCTCGAGTCGGCGACACCATGAAACCCGGCGTAAGAACCACTCGACCACGGAGGTCGTCAATACTACCTAGGGTGGTTGTAGCCTAGCTTTAATATATTCCAACTAGACTAGCTGTGCGCCGTGGTGTTACCGTTATTATTAGGGATATTTTCCCGCAGTAAAACGTAGCCTATGTGTTAATCCAGGGTGTCAGCTCACTCCATACCAAATTTTATTAAAATCGCTCCAGCCGTTTCGACGTGAAGAAGTAACAAACATACACACTCGCAAACTTTCGCCTTTATAATATTTGTGTGATTTTGAAAACTCGGTAGGTACCTGTGTTTGGTCACGTAAGCCACTGCAATATAATAAATTGTTTGTTGACTTCGCTTCGCACGGCGCCAAAAAAAATTAAACACTTTCGCTTATATAATATTACTGGCGGTCGCCCACAATTTGGTTCACGTTAACTTTATTTGAGGAGCTCGATGACGCGGGTGGTTAGCGCGTTCGGCTGCGATCGTTGAAGTTAAGCAACTTTCGCAGTGGTCGGTCTTTAGATGGGTGACCAAAAATCTTCTATCTCGAATTCCTCTGTGCTTCGGTAGGCACGTTAAGCCGTTGGTCCCGGCTGCATCTGCAGTCGTTAGCACGTTTACGAATTTGTGGCTTAATGTTGTGGGAAACTAGATATATAACTCCGTATTGGAGTGGTATACCGGTATATATATTTCGGTGATTTCAACGTGTCGCCTGTGTGCATTCAGATGTCCTGGGTTCGAATCTCGTTGGGGCATGATGAATACGAAGATTAGTACTTGATTAATGGCTATATATTTCTATGAAAAATACAGTGATCTGTGTATCATTATATCATGTTTTTGTATCCATTATCCTATTTTCTTATAAACAGCTATACAGTACTTACTTTTTTTGTATCGCAAGCGTCTATAGGCCATGCTGGATGCATACATGGCCATGCATACATGCGGATGTAGGGTTACCATCCGTCCGGATTAGTCCGGACATGTCCGGATATTTATACTATAGTACGGACTAGTGATGTAACGAATATTCGCATTCGCGAATACTCGCATATTTTTTAAAAATTCGCATTCGCAAAATCTCTGCGAATGTTTTGTGAATATGAATATTAGAAAAAAACAATTTGAAGAAGTTGTAGTTCTGCCTTTCCTTGAATATTCATTGTTACACAGTTTGCATTTAGCTCGTTCAGCATCGCAATGTGTTAAATAAGTCCATGTTTCATTAGAATTCGATTTACTCATGTTAATAAAACACTATTACCACTCACAATCACTAACCTCAAAATTCACTTGCTTTGTTTACGGAAAGACCGGTGCGAGCGGAATGACACTTCAGTCGGATGAGTTCATATCAACTCGGCAATTCGAACGAGACTGCCACCATGCCATAGACAATTGGCGCCAATTTAAAAAAAAAACTAAATATTCGCATTCGCTGTGTTCGCAATGTTCAAAAAATGACATTAGCTACATCACTTTGCCGGACTTTGTCCGGCTCTTTAATTTGTCCGGATTTTTTCGTATGCTTTGATGCCGACCATACAACTGTAACTAAGTAGGTAATTATGATTTTATTTATTTTTTAAGCATTTAACTGCTAGATGTTTAAATCTAAAGAAAAGTTTACTAGAAAAAAATCACGCGGACGGGACCCGAAACCGCATCCTTCGCTATCCGGGCGAATGCACTGACCATTATGCTACCACGGCCCTATTAGCCGCGTCGAAATTTTCCTTTTCTTTATATTTAAACATCTAGCAGTTAAATGCTTAAAAAATAAATAAAATCATAACTATAATTGCTGTTTCTTCTTTCAAATGTTTAATACTTGAAAAAGTATTCATTTGACATTGTGGGGTACCTACATTGCGAAGAGATGGCGCTGCCTTGCAGCTTAAGGCTAGGAAAATTTCGACGCGGCTAATAGGGCCGTGGTAGCATAATGGTCAGTGCATTCGCCCGGATAGCGAAGGATGCGGGTTCGAGTCCCGTCCGCTGCCTGGTCCGCGTGGATTTTTTTCTAGTAAACTTTTCTTAAGTAGGTAATGTTTCCATTTTGTGACTAAATGTCCGGACTTATATCGAAATATAAGTTTTTCTGCCAGGACTTTTGAAATTCCTAAATGGTAACCCTAACCGCATGTATACCACCTTTAGAAAAAAGCTTGTTTGCCACCCTATTTTTTTAAAAAAAAGTAATCATAAACATAATCTATATTGCTTCATGTTGGTACATACATGGGTTCTTAAATTTAAAATAAGGATTCACAACATGAGCCCTGCAAGGGCATTGCAAAATTTTTCTTAATTTTCAACAAACATTTACAATTACAAACATCAAAACATTTTACCTAAAGAATATGTTTTTTTTCTATATCCTTCAACAGCATGATTCATTTATGTAATACAAGTGATAATTATCTAATATATAAAATTCTCGTGTCGCGGTGTTTGTGGTTAAACTCCTCCGAAACGGCTGACGGGGTCTGAGAATCGGATGTAATCTATTTTTCATCCCCCTAAATGTTAATTTGTTGTAATTTTAGATATATATATTTTTTGACGTGACAACGTCTTAAATTAGGTTGCGGCTGGGAGTCACTTATGAAAAAGTGTAACGCTCGGTAACGTTACGATGAGTTTAAGTTTACATGTACAATGTTTTAGTAAACAAAATATATTTCTATAGTTAAAATTTGTGCAATTCTTATTTTCATTCAATTCCTTGTTCCTATTGTGCAATTTAATTATATTCATATCAATAAATATTCTACCGAGAAAAAGACGTTGTCACGTAAAATCTTCGCCCGTAAAACCGACTTTACAGGCAACCATTTTTTTTAATTTTTTTTATGATACATCATACAAAAATACATATATCCCTAAATTTTCATCTTTCTACCACCAACCCCTATTTTTTTATGGCGGTACGAAGTTCGCTGGGTCAGCTAGTGTTTATATATTATTTCATTATTTGTCCTAAGTATAATTGTATTAATTATTTATTTCGTTTGTCCCGTAGAACGGTGAGGTTACCGTAGGCGCCCGAGATGGTGCCGCGCACGTACTACGCTGCCTCAAGGTGTGGTTTGATCTGCCAGCCAGCGTACTCATACACGCCATCAACTTGTTCGACCGGTGAGTTATCTTAATATATATAAATCTCGTGTCACAATGTTTGTCCTCAATGGACTCCTAAACCACTGAACCGATTATAATAAAATTCGCACACCATGTGCAGTTCGATCCAACTCGAGAGATAGGATAGTTTAAATCTCATATTATAGTCGCAATTTTAATTTATTGCAAATTATTACTTTTGGGCGGTACGAAGTTCGCCGAGTCAGCTAGTATATTATATACCATCATCATTATCAGATTATCAAAATTGGGAACTCTTAAGCTTCCTCTGTGATAGCGAGATTTAGCTAAAAAGGTAGTTTTGTAAAATTTTGGGTAAGAACGCTTTTTACAGCCTAGCAATGTCCCCTTTGCTGAAATCAGGGAGTAATTTAGTTACCGGCCTTATTTTATGCGGGGTAGCGAGATGTTCGAAATGTATGTTTTTCTAATTATTATTAATTTGACTTAGCAGAATTCACAACCAGGCCAGGTCATAAACTGTGTAGGTGACTAGATGCCGCTTACACTTAATATTGGATGGGATAGGATAAAACGATATGAGCTGTTGTCTTCTCAAAAATTTTTTTTGTACAAAAACAAATTAGACCCCCCCCCCCCCCCCCCCTCTCACAGCGTAACCCATGCCAAAACAGTAAAATTTTTTTCGTCAACATTCAATGACCATACTTCTTTAATTAAAAATTGTTTTAATTTAACCTATTTTTACTAATTTGGCATCGTGGGTTACCTACAATGCGAAGAGATGGCGCTGCCTTGCAGCCTAAGAAATACTAGAGAAAATTCGACACGGACAATTAGGGCCGCGGTAGCATAATGGTCAGTGCATCCGCCCGGATAGTGGAGGGTGCGGGTTCGAGTCCCGTCCGCTGGCCGGTCCGCTTGGATTTTTTTCTAGTAAAATTTTCTTTATGTATGTTTTGTTTTCACCCAGTTTCCTGACCAAGATGAAAGTCCGCCCTTGCCACGTGCCCTGCATCACGGTGTCCTGCATGAACATAGCCATCGACGAGCATGCCGACCTCACCCGCCAACCCAGGAACGTGCTCGTGGAAGAACTGGGTGAGTGGCTCACTTCATGCTTATGTATTATTATAGTGGCATATTTAAATAGTGTATGAAGCTATACAAAAAAAAAATCTAATTATTATTCAGTAAAACTTTGTGTTAGTTTCGTACAAATCTGCTGAACCGTTTTGGCGTGATTTTAATTTTGAAGTAAATCTTCTTTTCGGACGTAAATGGAAAAATGTTATGGAATATATATATATATATATATATATATATATACATATATATTATTATTTATAGGTATATATATATACCGTCTTTGACCTATTGGAGGCCCTGGGCATATTAGGATAATGGGGTCCCTATGATTACCGTTTGGTGGTTTAACAGGGACTAGGGACTTTGCATTTGATCTGAGAGGGCCCCCTATCGATCGCGGGGCCTTGGGCACTTGCCCAACGTGCCCAATGGGAAAGACGGGTCTATGTGTGGGTGTGTGTGTGGGAGCCGTGCGCAGCTCTTCCTGACGACCATGAAAGTTGGTTGAATATATTACTTGCTATACTTATGAGTGATGCGTCCGCTGCTCCATTCCCCTATGCCTTATGCACCACCTAATATTAGGTTATTTAAGAAAAGAAGTTTCACTTCACATGTGTGGTCCGTGCTCTCATTTATATTTTTCATTTTTCACCAAGGTTTAAGAAATATTTAAATATGATTAGTATAAAACTCAATAGGATATTTGGTAAATTTTTCCTTGAAGTATATTTACGATATGTTTATTGTCTCTGTCCCACAGTATCAGTGTCCCAGTCCGCGTGCACTGCCGGCGACGTGGCCCGCATGTCCCGCGTGATAGTGGACAAGTTGGGACTTGTTAAAGGCTGCCACAGCGTCACGGCTCTGGACTGGCTGCGGCTATTGAGAACTTTGGTGGTGTGTGCTGCAGAGGAGCTGAATATAGACGCGCCCTTGTGTCAGGTTAGTGGAAAACAAAAACAATATAAAAACAAAACAGAAAGAAAAAAAAAATACAAAATTAAAAAAAAAAATCTTCCCAAATTTTATAATTAAAAAAAAAACAAATTCTCCACATTTACCCATAAAATGCAGACACTATACAGGAGACCGAATTATCTCTGAAGTTTGAAAAATAGTTCGTTTTTGACTTAATATATTTCGTAAAGCCACACAAAAACTTAAGAGGTTACGCCTTTCTTAGAGGAGATTAGGAAGGAAGAAACTCGTGCTCGGGCAAAGAATTCCACTTGCAAATAGTACTACAAAGAAATGAGTCACTAAATTTCTTTGTTCGTGTAGGAATAGTGGCCACAGTGAGTCGATGACAACGTAGGCCAGCACGTGTGCTCCTCTAAAGAAAAGGTGATGGAGGAATAAGGAAGAATAACTCTTCTTATTCCTCTGTGCTTCGGAAGGCACGCTAAGCCGTTGGTCCCGGCTGCATCTATAAGTAATTAATAAATTTTCCACCACTCAACCACAACTTTTGTTTAAGGTAAAAAATACACAGTTATAAATACGGCTTAAATTATTTGGTCTTAAAGTATGTGTGTGCATGTAGTATAGTGTGTTTGTGCCTTTGTAATTAACTTTTTATAGGATACGACGAGGGAACGGGACTGTTGCCCTTAACACAGATTATTTTATAATCTAGCTAGGGCTCAGTGCGACTATGTCAGAAAACTCTTATGCCTAAGATTTTTTTTTTACTATTACCTACTTTATAAGAAAAAAAAAACTATGTAATTAGTAAGTTTAAATATTGTACACTTTTTTGGCAAAATAAAAGATTATTATTATTATCTGCAGTCGTTAGCACCCACCAATCCGCACTGGGCCCGCGTGGTGGGTCATGGCCCAATCTCCCTATTCCATCCATAGGGAAGGCCTGTGCCCCTGATGATGATTCTTTTGTCCTCACCCACCTTACGCGTGGAAAGTAATTAGACGAACGATAAATATTGGCATTATTATTTGTTAGATATGTTTAAACATTTGTTATTTTAAGAGATTTTATAATAAGTTAATAGGATATTTGACAAGTTTTAGGCAACAATCTCACGTTATTGACTAATGTTTATGGAGTCCGTAAAAAGTGGATATTCATAATTCTGATAAAAATAACCAAATCAAAAACTCCATTTTCAAGTTGCCGCGAAGACGTTTCTCTGGACAATATGGCGTCTTACTAGTGTGTGACGTCATACTACTGTTACTAAAACGTCAAACGATACAATGTAATGTCACTTTAACCGGAAGTTTACTTGCGTGTGATGTCATTTTAGGCTCCGCCAATCCCAAGCGTTTTGGGTCACGTGACAATAGATAAGAAAACTATTATCTTTTTCGTGGGTTTTTAGTAATGTTACGAATTTTTTTTTGTAAAAATATTAAAAAACCCCGGCCAATATTCAATCTAAACACAGATGCTAACAATTGGCACTTTATTTTTAATACTGTCAAATACCCTATTGATGATGATGATTGTTTCAGGAGAGTGAATTAGTGAATCTGCTGGAGATCGTGGTATGCGATGCGGTTTGTGCCAACGCTAGAACCAGCGAACTGGCGCTCGTACTCATATACCATCAGTTGGGTGAGTTAATATTGTATTTTCGGGAGATAATTCTCATTTAAAAACTACTAGCAAACCAGTGAACCAAATGTTCACCAAAAAAAAAATGTACTTAATTAATTGAGAACTTCGGAGATTTTCTGTGGTTTCGTTTTAAATTCGTGATTTCTCGAAAACCGGAAGTGCTACGTTACTCAAATCCGGTTTGTAGTCTTATCAGACTATTCTTAACTTATAACTTAAACATTCTCTTTATCTATCTCTTACGGTTTGGCCGCTGAAACAGCACCATAGACAGACGGACGGACGGACTTGTCTAATAGATAAGAGATTATATTCGTCTTATATTTTACTAGCTGAGCCCCGAAATGTTACCCGCGGTTTATTAGGGATATTTTGCCCGCAGTAAAACGTAACCTATGTGTTAATCCAGGGTGTCAGGTAACTCCATACCAAATTTCATTACAATCGCTCCAGCCGTTTAGACGTGCAGAAGTAACAAACATACACACTAACAAACTTTGGCCTTTATAATATTAGTGTTATGTTAAAAAAATTGTGTGCACGGAGCACACATCTGGAGTGAAACTTGTTTTCTTATATAACCTAACATTAGGCGGTGCATGAGGCATAGGGGAATGGAGCAGCGCACGCATCACTCATATATATATATATATATATACTAGCTGACCCAGCAAACTTCGTACCGCCCTAAAAAAATAGGGGTTGTCCAGCGGACAAACTTGTGAATCTAAACCATTCTCAGATCCCCTTGAACACACACAAAAAATTTCATCAAAATCGGTCCAGTCGTTTAAGAGAAGTTCAGTGACATACACACTCACAGAAGAATTATATATATAAAGATATATATATATATTGTCGCGTGTGACGCTCGTAGCGTTTCAGCCTTCGCCGAGTTACCCTCCAATTTTTATGCTCGTTAGGAAGAGCTGCGCGCGCTGCCGATACACACACACACACACACATATATATATAAATAGTCGTGTGATGCTCGCGATGCTTATCCGTTTCATCTTTTCCATAGTGAGAGAGAGAGAGAGAGATTTTTTTTATTAACCGTATTACATAAAGAATGAAAAAACACATTTATAAAGAAAAAAAAAGTTTTACTAGAAAAAAATCCACGCGGACCAGGCAGCGGACGGGACTCGAACCCGCATCCTTCGCAATCCGGGCGAATGCACTGACCAATTATGCTACCACGGCCCTGATGGCCGCGTCGAAATTTTCCTAGCCTTAAGTTGCAATGCGGAGAGGTGGCGCTGTCTTGTAGGGCTAGGAAAATTTCGACGTGGCCATCAGGGCCGTGGTAGCATAATTGGTCAGTGCATTCGCCCGGATTGCGAAGGGTGCGAGGTCGAGTCCCGCCCGCTGCCTGGTCCGCGTGGATTTTTTTCTAGTAAAACTTTTCTTTAGATTTAAACATCTAGCAGTTCAATGCATAAAAAAACAAAATTAGAAACTAACTGAAAACTATAAAAGTAATATAACATTTAATCTGGACCCTGCCTCAGCATGAAGCTGTTACCACACGTTATTGAGCTAATAAGATTTTCCATTTACACCCTGTCCGAAAAAATGTTTCAATACACAATAGTACTAATATTTGTTGTGTGTGTTTGTACTACAGAACAGCAACTGGTAGAATGGTCCCGCCGGGAAGGGAACCCGGTGCCGGAGGCCGCCTACCTGCTCTACGATTACGCCGCTCAGCTGCAGGCGCACTGCCATGTGAGTGGTACATTTATAAATATATATAACTAGCAAGCAGTGAACCAAATGTTCACCAAAACCTGATTTAAAAATGTATTTAATTAATTGAGAACTTCGGAGTTCTTGTGTGGTTTCGTTTGAAATTATTTAGTTAAAAAATAAAAATAAAATAACCTTTAATATTGTGATAATTACAAAATAGAAATCACGTGATTTCTCAAAAACCGGAAGTGCTACGTCACTCAAATCCGGTTTGTAGTCTTATCAGACTATTCTTAACTTATAACTTAAACATCCTCTTTATCTATCTCTTACGGTTTGGCCGCTGAAACAGCACCACAGACCGACGGACGGACGGACTTCTCTAATAGATAAGAGATGTATATACTAGAGATGGGCCGACTAGTCGGGAAAGACGACTATTCGACGCCGTTTATAGTCGGCGAAAACGTGCCGATTATAATCGGCACGTACCAATATAATAAAACTCAAAACCTGAACATTATCCTAGAGTATGTAATTAAAGTTACCTACAGTCTTAAAATGTTTAAAAATAAGGTAACATAATAAGAATTAGGAACTTAGAAATCTGTCAGTAATTCAGATAACACAATGAATATCGAACACAACAAAATAGCAGAGGGAAATTGAGTAAAATCTTAAGTGCTAGCGAGAAGGCCCACAAAAAAGTATTCTGCGCGAAAGACCAGACTACCTGAACTTTATGTTTTCGGGGTCGCTGAGTCCAAATATGGTGCCAGAATAACGAAGTTGGTTCGCGTTTTTTCATTAATCAGCAATAATTCTGAAAATTTCAGTTTTTCGTATAATATGGTTTATTTTGTTAAAAAAACGCGAACCAACTTTGCTATTCTGGCACCATATTTGGACTCAGCGTACCCCGAAAACATAAAGTTCAGGTAGTCTGGTCTTTCACGCAGGGTACTTTATTTTTTGTGAGCCTGTGTTATCTATTAATTACTAGCGGCCCGTCCTCGCTTCGCTTCGGTGTACAGCTGAAGTGTAGACTACAGTTTTTGTTCTCAAGCTTGTATTATACACAATGACATTCATCTATGATTCTTCTTATATCTGCATGCAATTGACAAAGTTTCATACAAACTTTCATTCCCTATTTTATCCTCTTGGGGATAGAATTGATCAAAATCCTTTCTTAGCGGATGCCTACGTCATAACATCTACCTGCATGCCAAATTTCAGCCCGATCCGTCCAGTGGTTTGGGCTGTGCGTTGATAGATCACTATGTCTGTCAGTCACCTTTTGAGTTTTATATATATATATAGATTATTTCTCACATAACTTTATTGTATCTTTACTTATAATATGTTTATTATAATTCCATACAGATGTCAGACGCGTCCCTGGTGAGCTGTCGCAACAGAGTTCGCGTCGTGATCTCCCGGTACGAGGGCAGGTGTGCTGCCACGCATAGACAACCGTTAGTGTGGAGATTATCCGAGAGGACGCTCAAGGTAATAATAATAAGAATTATGGATTTGGTTGTTAGGTTTTCACGCACAACCACTCATTAAATAAAACAAGTCTCAACCCCCTTATTAATAAACAAGGAATAAAATAAAAATAAATATTTCCAACATTCACACTCACGGTCAGTGCATTCGTCCGGCTAACGAAAGCTGCGGGTTCGAGTCCCGTCTGCTGACTGGTCCGCGTGGAATTTTTTCTAGTCATATTTTCTTTAGATTTAAACATCGACCAGATACATGCTTATAAAATAAAAGTTATAACTATATTTTATTTTTATGTTTTTATTTTTTTAAGCATTTAACTGCTAGATGTAAATCTAAAGAGAAGTTTTACTAGAAAAAAATCGACGCGGACCACGCAGCTGAGGGGACTCGAACCCTTCGGAATCCGGGCGAATGCACTGACCAATTATGCTACCGAAATTTTCCTAGAATTAGCTGCAAGGCAGCGCCGTCTCTTCGAATTGTTACCCACAATGTATATTTTATTTGTTGATTTTTTTGTCGTTAGGTATTGCGGCCTACCGACCGTCTGACGTCGCTGCTGCCCACAATCGAGGAACAACACCTTGCCGACGCCTCGCCGCCAAGGAAACGGTAATTATTAAATAATAAATAAATATTTCCATCACTCACACCAATTAGCCTAGCCCCAAAGTAAGCACTGTAAGGCTTGTGTTATGGGATACTAGGGTAACGAATAGAATACATATACTGTACATGTATAAGTATATTTATATAGAAATACATATTGAACAATAATGACTACAAGGAGTACAAATGCTCGTATTAATCACAAAAACATCTGCCCCCACCGGGATTCGAATCTCGAGTCGGCGACACCATGAAACCCGGCGTACAAACCACTCGGTCACGGAGGTCGTCAAATTAATAGGCTGATTAGTGGCCTTTGTTAGAGAGTAATGCTTCAATATCATTTCTAATTTGTTGTAAATACCATATTATGTGTGTGTGTGTGTTTATATCGATGGCGCAAATTTTATCAAAATCCATTCAGCGGTTTAACTGTGAAGCAGTAACAGACAGACGGACTTTCGCATAATATTAGTATGGATTAATTGGATTTTAAACCGGTTAAATGCACTGAATTTATCCGTTTCTGGAACGCATCTTCAGAATAAGTCGAGCTACCTTCGAAAGACTTATTGAGTGAGAAAAATCTTCCAGTGAAATATCCGAACGCTCAATTAAAGATCTTTCGAAGGTATAATGCGATTCAAATGAGATTAGGAAAGCCAATGACCTCTATCTGTCAAATGTCGCTTGAAAAGTACGGTTAGCAAAAAAATCTTGGAACCCTTTTTTAGCACTCGGCTAATTCAAGAATAAAAACCAAACATTTGTAAACAAAAAATAACAAATATTGATAATTAATATCGGTTGACATTTTTTTCTCACTTATTGAACTTTGGCCATGAATGGTTGATAACCTAAATTGTCAACCAAATGTCACTTTAAGTTACGTTCAGAAACTCGATTTCAAACTTTCGTTTACTTGAAGGATGCATGTTCGTATGTGACTAGTAATAGTGCATGATTATTCATAACTACTCCGGCGGTAATGCAGAGATGAACGGAATAGAAGAGCTAGATTCTGATTAATGTTTTTTCTCACAGTCTTAATAAATAAATATTAATTATTAAAAATCGGTGGTTTTTTTTTCTCAATCTGAGTAAATAAAAAATGTTATTAAAAAAATCTGATGCTTTTTCTCACTTTATCCTAGTAAATAAGTTTTATTAAATGCAAACTTTTTTTTGCTCACTCTGCCTATTTGGTTTGAATTGACAGCTATGACATCACAATATGGCGCCCAGTCGGTCCTATTCTTAGTTGAATCGCATTATAGATCGACTTATTCTGAAGATGCATCCCTGAAATGGATGCGAAACGTCAGTAAATAAATAAATTCAGTGCATATAACCCGTTTAAAACTGTTCTATTTAATGAGTGATGTGCGTGAAAACCTATGAAAACAAAATTGTTTCTCTTTCTCCCAACAGTTCGGGTAGCGAGGGCAGCGACTCTGTAGACATGTCGGATTGGCCTCGCAGCCCCATCCTGCCTGTTTACTGCGACCACTGATCCATTGAGGCGAAAAACTCAACGAAAAACCACCAAAAAAGCGTTATCCTCAAAGCGAAGAACTTACAGTAGCAATAGTTAACACGGTACCTATCTTAAAAAGAAGTACCTTATTACCGTTAAAAAAATAGACACATGTTCGATCAAGACGAGTAAGATAATTGTCATACAAAATTTGCCTAAACAATGTTTAAATCTTACTTTTTTGTAGTCATATCATCGCTAGAATCTGATAATCACAACACTCGAATGATGTTAATAATGCGTTATTATTTAAACACACTACACTTATAAAAGAAAACACACCACACCTGTGTTCGTATACCTATATAATTTCACGTTTATTTATAATAAGAGAATTGTTTCGTCATTGAGTGTTTGTTTTTTATGAATTTCCTATGATTAAAAAAAATAGGTTACAATTTTTGTTCGTACTCAGCATACTGTTTGTTCTTCGCTAAACGAATGCAGCTAAAACCACACATCACCTTCTCAAAATTGTTTTATGATCCTTATTTTGAAATCAGTCAAAACATCGAGATCTAAAATTTAATATAATTAAATATATAACGAGATGTCCAGAGAATCTAGTGATTTTGCGAGCGAATGTATTGTATTATTTTGATAAACTAAAAACTTAAATCTATAATAATAATCAAGTTTTATTGATAATATATACCATAATTAATTCCTTTGAAATTGACATTTAAATAATTGAATAATTATGTAGGTATTTTATACTCGAAATCAAAGAAAATATTAATTATTATGGTTTTCATGTAGTGATAATCGAGAAAATGTGATTTTTTTGACATGTAAATAAATTGTATTAGAAAAGAATATATCAAATGGGTGGTTGTTAGAAAAATCTTACAAAACAATATGTTCGCTGCAATATACCTAAAACCTCTTGTGTAAAGATAACAGTCGGTGGGTTAGTTCTTTATATATTATCTTAAATATAATTTAGTCTAATTACATAACTTTAAAAAAATTAAACGAGACAAAAAAAATCAACAAAAAGTGCAATTCTTGAATAAAAAAAATTAAAAAAAAAATGTATTTCGTTCTCGAACATTCGCTTTTTAAGGTTTTAGTTTAATCTTATCCATAGGCATAGAGAATGGACTGGGCTGATAATGATAAGTGAGTACTCTTTCTATTTTTCTAGAGTATTGTCAATTTCATGCGAGTCCATTCCATTTTGTATGTCTATGGTCTTGTCAAACGAGTGACAGGCGCGAGGTATCAACAAGACTTAAATTCTACCAAAATGGTAGAAATTTTTACACAAACGGTAGATCTTTCTAACAAAATGGTAGTTTTCCGAGTGTCGTCGATATCTCGCGCTCTGTCTTATAATTTCTTCTCTGTTAGTACAATGATGGTAATGTAATATTTTCAGCCCCAGTAGGTATTTTGTTATTGTCAATTGTACTGAAAATGTGTCGCTTTTGGCGTTTCGTGCCGTTTTTGATGTAGCATTTTGTTCGCATTTATTCGTTGGCTGACATTTTTTTTTACTTGGTATTATTGTGATTTGATGCTGATGTGTTTGTGTGTATAATTCATAGATTAACACCCCCTTATTAATAAGCTTGGATTAGGTTACTCATGGTTCTGTCTCTGTTCATTGAATGACAAATGGCAAGGCGCAATGACATGAGCAAAACATAGCATAGAAAAAAGTTTTTAAAGTTTTAAGAAAAAAAAATTTTTTTTCTAGTTAAATATTTTCTTTAGATTTAAACATCTAGCAGTTAAATGCTTAATAAAATAAAAACATAACTATAAATGCTATTTCTTCTTTCAAATGTTTAATACTTGGAAAAGTATTCATTTGACATTGTGGGTTCCCTACAATGCTAAGAGATGGCGCTGCCTTGCAGCTTAAGGACTGGAAAATTTCGACGCGGCCATCAGGGCTGCGGTAGCATAATTGGTCAGTGCATTCGCCCGGATTGCGAAGGGTGCGGGTTCGAGTCCCGTCTGCTGCCTGGTCCGCGTGGATTTTTTTCTATTAAAAACATTTCTTTAGATTTAAACATCTAGCAGTTAAACGCTTAAAAAAATAAAAACAGCGTAACTAGTCTTAAGCTTATTCCACGCTTATAAATAAGGGGCAAGAGTAGACTGAGCGTTCCCTGTTAAGTAAAACTAGACTAAGTGTGAAAGAGAGGAATAGATCGTGCGGCCAATCGTTCTATTGTATTGGCTGCATCATCGCTTTGTCTCTTTCTCGGCAGTTGTCAGTTTTATAAGAGTGTCGTTCATTCCACTCTCCATTGCCCGCACAGCACTTGCCTATTGCCTTGCTTATTTGTAAACTTGGCAAGCGGTTGTCCTTATCATGTTCTATAAGGAGCGAAAAGGACAGACTGATGTCTTTGCAAATAGCGAACACGAATAGCCAAGCGAAGAGCGGCATATATCTATGATTTTAATTCGACTATATTAGTTATTGGCTCCGAATATGTTGTTCAGTGTTTTGTAAATATGCAATTAATTTATTCTACGATTAATTGTGAACAAATCGCGTTCAGAAACGGTCGATGGTGTATGCAGAAGAGTACACTGTTTTTTCCAAATCCCCTTAATATATCGGTCAAGCTTTATTAATCGTATTTAAAAGTATTTTTTAAGAGTAATCATAAATCATTTTTTTTTATATAAATGGATAGGAAAAAGCAGTGTCCTACTCCGGAAAGGATTTCCATGTAAGATATAACATGAAAAAGAAATATGTTATAAAAATAATCCATAATTTCTTTAGCTTAAGTTTCCCACTTATCAAGAAAATCTACTTATTTGGCCGCGTTTTAAAGGCCATTGAAACTTTTTTTTTATATCGCAAAAGTGTTGAAAATAATATCCACCGATTTTTTTAAAAGTACATACATGGTATCAGTAACATAAGTATTATTGTAATCTTTAACTTATGGTTTTTTTCACTCCTTTGTTTACTTTATGACTAACTCTAGTTACGGAGTTTTCTTTCCAAATCTATTACGTATTTATTTCACTCATCTAATTATATTATGATAAAAAAAACATGTTTTTGGCATTATTATCATTTTTATTTTAGACTTTAATGTTCGTAAATTTGATACTTAGTTATATAAATGAAGAAATGACAAAAAAAATACAAATATTATCCAAAAGAAAAATTGTAGAAAAAAAAATGATCTCAGGTATATAATTTTGTTTCATATAGATGTGAAGGATATCCATACTAAACAGTTTAATGGTAGTTTTGTACGAAGTAAGTTTTTTTTATCTTTTTCGAATGGCTGTATGAATGTGTGTGTTTGCATTTTCTGGTTTCATACAAGGTTTTGTCAGAGAATTTTTCCTACGAGAAATCTGGACATTTTTTTAAATAGAAATATGCGTGAGTGAACGTGTGTTCATAATGTTTAACAAGAAAATATACCTCTGTGATAATTTGTCTTAAAATATGCCATCTTACATCATAATAAAATGTCATCAATAAAATATTTTTGTGAGTCGGGTGTTTTACGCTGTCCAGCGGGCGAATCGAGTTTTTTAAATAGCTAAATTTATTAAAGAAATCCAGGTGTAAAAAGTATTAACGAAATTTAAAAATAACTTTTTCATAATTATTGTGTATAGAATTTTAGATTTTATCGAGTTTTGTCGTTTCGTAAATTGTCTTTCTTTCACCATTGCCTTAACGTCAGTTTGCTGCACAAATTCTAATTTTAAAATTTACAGTCGTTTTTTTTTGTAAAATAGGCTGAATGCTTTATTTATACTGTTTCCTTCAAATTAGTAATGTAAAAAAAACTATTTTAGTTCTGAAATTAGAATAATAGTATTCTATGGTTATAAACTACAATATTTTTTCAAAAACGATCATGTTGTATTTACAAAAACGTTAATAAACAAATGCAGCTATTCGTTATTGCTCAAATAACGAATGACCCATAACGATAAGCGTTTATTTACGTTTTTAACTTAACAAAATTAACTTTGTCTACTTAATTAGCTTAGTATGTATGGTAGTATGTATAAACATGTAGTTTGTGCCAGCAAATTGTCAAATTGCACGAAGCATTTATACTGTTTTCACCCGTGTGCCGCAGAAAGTTTGTATAATGTATTCGGATGCAGCTGTAAAAGAGCTTGTATTGTATGTGTGGTATAAATACTGAAGTCTCGAATCTAAGAGAATAAAAAGTTGGACTCTTACTTTACCCTGTTGTTTTATTCCATAATAATTTCTCCAATCTTTCTTATTTATTTACACTCACGTTTGCTTGTTTTATGGGAACTGACCAACGATATTAAATACCCTAGATACACCAACACGAACAAAATCGTGCCCGAAACCTGTCCAAAAGGTACATTGAACGATCCACGGAGCTCCGTAAGATGATCGCGTAGTCAAAATCAATATAAGGCATTATTTAAATATTGAAAGTAACCTTTAATACATACTGTATAATGTCTAAAATAAAACGCATGCGTCAAGGACTTCTGATAGTTCGAAATGCAAGCTCGTAAAATTTAACGACATATATGCGGAATGACTGAATGAATATATGCGGAAGAATTTATACCTTATTTCTTTGACTCTACGCGCAATTCTGAACGCGCTGTTAGCAATATAGCAGGCACGGACCGCGAGGAAAAGAGACGGCTATATGGCGACGTATAACCGACCATGCATTTGAATATCACAAATATTTTATTTTTTTATTTTTATTTATTTATTTAATTCAGGTAACAAACAGTCTTATACAAACAATTTTACAATTTATGTTTACAAATAGACCTAAAGTACCATTAATTGATATACAATTATTATATTCAAGCGGCATAAAAGTGACGGATAACTATAAACATTTGATATACATCGCCGCTGCACATGTTAACTATTTAAACAATAATTCACTTATTTTCCTTTTGAAGCTGTAAAGTGATTCACTGAAAATATCTGCTTCATTCAAGTTCTTATTGTAAAAATTACATGTCCGTCTAAAAAAGGTTTCTCTAGCATAGTTGGTATGGCAACTCGAAACATAAAAGGTATCATTTGAACGTGAGGAGAAACGAGGAACTTTGAGTACAATACTCTGCACAAGTTGAGCTGAGTCTATGTGATTGTTTATTATTTTGTACAGAAACATGGCATCCAAATACTGGCGTCTACAGACCAATGACTGCACTTCATGTCTTTTTGCACTCTCTTCATAATCATTATAATAAAATCCGACACGATAATCTAATGATTTTATGAATTTGCGTTGTACACGCTCTATTCTATCCTTGTGCACAGCATACTGAGGACTCCAGACCACGCTACCAAACTCCAATATACTCCGAACGTATGCGTTATAAAGGATCTTAAGAGTACTGCCCCTGGCGAAAGGCTTTCCTAGTCGTAGGATTAGCCCCAACTGCTTAAACGCCTTGGCTACCATACTGTCAATATGCAAATTAAAGTGCAACTTGGAATCCAGAGTTACTCCTAAATCGCGAATAGAATTCGTGCGGATTATACTTTGATCTGAGATTCTGTAATTATACTGGATAGCATTATTTTTACGAGTAAAGGTTATTACATGACACTTATCTAGGTTCAAGAGCAAGTAATTGTTTTTACAAAAACGTTCAAAATTGATCAAATCTTTCTGTAAACTTTCACAATCATCAGAATTTCGCACTATTTTATAAATTTTTGTATCGTCAGCGTACATGAGAAAGTGAGAGCTAGTAAAGCAACGGCTGATATCGTTGACATAAAGACAAAATAAAAATGGTCCCAGGTGGGACCCTTGCGGAATTCCTGAGGGAATATTTAAGAATCTCGATCGGTAACCCTTGAGTGCAACAGCTTGACTACGATTTCTGACATATGACTCAATCCATCTTAGCAGATCGCCATGTATACCGACCCCGAAAAGTTTTTTTATTAATAATGAATGATTAATTTTGTCGAACGCCTTCGAGAAGTCGGTATACACGGCATCCACCTGATATCCAGCATCCATAACATTTAGTACGAAATCAGTGTAAGTAACCAAATTTGTATTGACACTTCGACCTTGGAAAAAACCATGCTGTTCTGCGGTCACGGTATGTTTCAATTGACTCGACAAAAATGAAGTCACTATTTTTTCAAAAATTTTTGCTAGAACACATAGCTTTGAGATTGGCCTATATTGTTTAACATCGTGTTTGTTACCACCCTTCGGAATTGGTGTTATTAACGCTTTCTTCCATATCATCGGGAAACTTCCTTCAGAAAGAGATTTCCTAAAGATGATTGTAAGTGGTAATGACAATTCAGTACAAAGCCTACGAATTAAAATTGGATGAACATTATCACTACCAGCGCCTTTATTAATATCCACTTGTTCAAATAATTTAGCAACTGATTTCTGAGATATAAATACCGAAGATATGTCTACCAACGGTGATGCGTTACTACATGTTGGGTGATCAAGATTGCTAGTGTTACCATGGCATACGAAAACTGAATTAAAATATTCATTAAACATATTTGTGATAGATTCAATATCCGTTGATGTCTCATTATTATAGGTCATGTGTGTAGGGACATTCTGGTCGCCGAACTTTGATTTTATAAAAGACCAGAAGTATCGTGGTGACGTCGCTATCTTATCTTCAGAAAATTCTATAAAGTTTTTATAACATTCTCGTTCAAGTTGTTTTTCTTTGAACCTGATTGTAGAAAAAATTTGATAATCAAGATCACACCGATATTTTTTCCATTTTTTATGAGCTTTTAATTTTTGTCGAATCAATTTTATTAACGATCCGGAATACCAAGGCGGATAATTAGAATGCGGGTTGATTACTTTTTTTGGAATGTATTTATCCATCAACTCATTAAATACTTTGTAAAAGTAAGATACACATTGTTCTGTATTTAAAACGCTGAATTCTTTCACCCAATCAATATTTAATAATGCCTTACTCATTGATTCAAAATCAGCAGCGTGATAAATTAATTTTAACCGTTTACACCCTTTTATGACACCTATTAGTGGCAATGTCAACGAAATTTCAAGGGATTTATGATGGGGATCTTCAGTGATAAGAGGCGAGTCTGAACCAGTAACAGTACAAATACTGCTACTCATTACTAAATCAAGAATACGCCCGTTAGAGTTCGTACAGCTGTTAAATTGTAATAAATTACATAAGTTCATAAATTCCAATAAGCGTGTGGCATTAACATCGTTATTTGTATTCAATTGCAACTTTGAATTATCATCATAATACCAGACCGCATGCGATACGTTAAAGTCACCCAGGATTAGAAAACTATCATTTGGGTTATCTAAGACGAGCTCGGATGTGTTATCATAAAAAGATTGGAGTGCGACCGAGTGATTACTATTGTGCGGAAAGTAACAACAAGCTAAATGTAACTGCATAGTGGTGGTGGAATGCACGGCCGTTGCGCCGGGCGCTTGCATCTGGTTCGGCTCTAAAGCAGTAGCCATCGAGCCGCGGCCATGAGCGTACGGAATACTGAGTGTAAGCCACAGTTCGTCGACGTTGTCACTTGACCGCCACTGGTCCCGGCGCTGTGCGCACAGCTCGCGGCGTACTGCTATAAGTACTCCTCCGCCGCGCGTGCCGCGTCCGTCCTTTTCGTTACGATCTCTTCGATAAACATTATAGTTATTATAAAAATATTCCGCGCTATTAAAACTTTCCGTCAACCAAGTCTCAGTCAAAAATATCAAATCATAGTCACTCAATAGTACATTAGTCAAAAAAGTTTCTGTTTTAGTACGTAGTCCCCGCACGTTCTGATAGTATATATTCAATGATTTAATGTCAGTCATTTTTAAAGTTTATTCTATCCAAATTATCATTAAAATATTTAAATCGGACACTGTAAGAAAATAATACCTTTTTCAGACTTGGAGATGCAAATATGATTGAATAATAAGTTATGTAATTAGATTTGAAGCAAGTAATTCTTGTTAAATAACAATATTTCGTATGTGACATTTTAACGTTTTGGAGAAGTGTACAATATTTAGGACATGGACAGCAGTTTACAATTAATTTGTGTTTACAATTAGTATGGTCTGCATACAATAGGTTAGCAGATGCAAAAATAAGGTGAATTAAAGACATGACAGTGCATTTTTTACTTAATAAACCAGTGACATAAGTGTTTGGGTTAGGTAATAGTCATTTAATTTTAAATAAATCGGATTCATTTGTGATACGAAATATATTGGATTTATCAGTTTTTCGAATAAATATCTTACAGTCTTTTACCCATAGATATGAGTATTTCTTTTCAACCTTAAGCTCGCGCACTCTTTTGAGCAGCAGTTTGTTTGCCGGTGTAAGGTGATCACCAATATATAGGTGAGAAGCCGGTCCTGGTATTCCAATATCAGCCGATGTGATGCCCGTTGATCGACGTGCCCGCGCTGCTGCAATCAGCTGGTCCTTGCGCCTTCGTTGAGTAAACCGCACAATTACTGACGGATGACGAGCTGTTTGTTTACCACGTTCATGGGGCGCATTGGTATCTTGAGGATAGGGACGAACTCGATGAATAGTGTCAACATCGGTATCGGAAAGCTGAAGCCCCAAAACTTGACAAAGGTTGTAAAATAATGAATATAAATTTTCACCACTGGTCGAGGGTATTCCTGAGATTTCAATATTATTTTGTCTGGAAAATTGATCTTGTGCATTATTTTCTAACTTCAATTCTGATATGGTCTCAAGAGCTTTTGTAAGCTCTGTTTGAAGATCTGGTAGACAGGATAACTTCCCCTCGGCGGTTACTAATCTGTCCTCAATACCAGAAAATCGATTTTCCATTTCGTACCATTTGGAGTTCAAATCTTCCACAGATTGTTTAGTACTGCGAATATCCGATTGAATATTATTAAAATCCTTTTTCATGGCGTTGAAGTCCACACGAAGACTTTTGATTTCATTTAGTACCTCAGCCATAGTAGCACCTCCTGTCTCAGAGGGCTGAGCGCGACAAGATATACAGCGCCAGGCTGCTTTTTTCTCCTGTCCCATCTTCCTGTAACTGGCCTCGGAAACTCCTGCACATCCATAGTGGAAACTTCCATCGCACTTACTGCACGACACAGAGTCGGTAACAGTATCCTTACACTTTGCACAAAACATAGCTATTTATGGATTTTATAAAAGCAAGATATTATTCAGGGTTTGTATAGATGAT